CAATTGCTCTAAAACTTTTTCATTTTCTTGGTTTTCTTTTTCTGCTAATTCTAATTGGCGATTAGATTCTTGGAGTTTTTGATTGATTTCAGTAATGGTTTGCTGTTGGGATTGGAGTTTTTGCGTGATTTTATTTTTTAAAGTAGTAAATTCTTTATTTAATTTTAAAGACCGAGTTCCTAAGCGGTAGTTTTTAGATAGTCGTAATGGGTTAGCAACTTGACCGACTAATTTTTCCTGGCAACGATAAAAATAAGTGTTGTCCTTTCGGCGGAATACTTTTTGGTTACCATTTAAGTATTGTCCGGTTTCTTTATCAATTTTGCTTTTGTTAATCAGGAGTGTCTCTCTTTCTTCATAGTCATACAAGTTTTTAAAAAAGCGATAAGCCTTATTGTTTTCTTTAAAACCATGCTGTACGTAAAGGGTGCGGAGGTGAAAACTTTTAGCTAGGTACTTGGCCAAGTATTTAGAAATTGTTTTATAACCTGGGGAACGGCTTTCTACTCGGCCTCAGGGTCAAAGTTCCGAAATATAAGCCCGACAATTTCAACAGGAGGTAAAATTCTTATCCAGGGTACACTTATGGGAGTAGGGGACAATGGGTGTGCTGAGTAAATGAAAATGTCAGGTACCATTTTTTTGTAATTCAGCAACCACTACCCATTTTCAGTGGGATGGTTTCCATTTTAAGCGAATGCTGCGTAAGAATTTTGATAAATATTTGCTGGCCAGAGAAAAATTGTCAGCTTGGTCTTGACTGACTTTTTTTAACAAAATAATCATTGGCTCGGCTTCTTTATCAAAACCTTGCGCTCAGCCTTTTAGCCAACTGTTTTTCTTTTCAATCGGTTGTCAACAGGGATTGTTCGGATCCGTGTTAGTGGTAAAGGTGGAAAGATTGTCTTGGGTGGTGTTAAAAGTGAGAGTTAAGAAGAGTAAAGGTTGCTCAGCGGCCGTCCCTTCAAAATTTGCTTCCACTTTATCTAAGAAGCGGATGTAGAGCCTTTTCTCTTTGCGGTTGAAGAATTGGAAGAAGTCACAGTTTTGAGCATCTTGGAGGCAATCGTCTGGTAATTGTGGTTGAGATTGTCCGGCAGCAGTAGACTGATTTTTGGGTTGGTTTAAATAAAAAGATTTAGCTGAGTTTTTAGATAAGGTAATACTAGTGCGACCGGTACTTTGAATCGATTTTAGCATGACATTCAAGACTGAGAAAGAAGTGTGATCCTCGGCTAAAAAGGCTTTGAGATCGGATTTTGATACTTGCTTAACCTGGGCTAAATCCATTAAGAACTTATCTAATTTTTGCTGCGATTTCAGAGTTGTAGTTATGTTGCCATTAGA